ATTATGTCGATGTTCGGGACTTTTCTAATAGTGTCACTTTTAAAAAATGATTCTCATTTATGTAGTTTTCATATTTTAATACTTAGGGTATATAAGTAATTTCTAATATTTCCCCAAAGTTGGGGGAACTTTAATTTTAAGAACAAGAAGAGTTTTTGAGGGTTTTGTTAAAAATCCAATTCATTTCCTTCATTTTTTTAAACTCACAAACAAGAGAAATGGTTAATAAAACATTTCCCTTCCTTTTCTTCTCCTCCTAAAACCAACTCTCATACAAAGCCCAAGGGGATATTGGAAATGCATCTCCCACTGTTCAATGCACCAACTTTGAACGAATTTGAGTGTCTAATAAATGTTTCTTCCTAATTAAGTTTAATAACGTGTTCACAATTTTTCTTTTATTTGCAACCGTTTTAATTTTTCAGCATGAATGTTATATATTCATTATAAAGGTTAAGCTTGTTGGGTAAGTGACTTCTCTATATAGGATGCAGAAGAACACCTAGAGCGAGGGTGAATAGGAGTTTTCAAATTTTTCAAAAACTTTTTACAAGTAGATCTTTATAATTTACATGCTTAGACAAAGTTGAACTTATTAATTCAATATACCAACACAATTAGATTGATAATTCTCAAATAATTTTGCAAATTGAATTCAATAAACAGCCACACAGTTATAACACTTTTGCTATTTTACTTTGGTCCCTATAAGCCCTTTTAATTTTTATATGATGGAACAACATAAAACCTAACAGACCTTTTGATATACAGAGTATAAATGCAACAATAGCCTTTCTTATAGAAAATCTATATAGTTAATTTCTACAGCACTTTTAATGTAACAGATCAGAATTATCAAAGCTGCTACAACACAATTTAATATGACAAAACTACTATAGAAAATATAAGAAACATAAATTTGTTATATCACTTTTAAAAACTAGAAATGGAATAACTTTAAGTCTCTAAATAGAAAATTTAGAATTTAAATCATAGAGACAAAAAACACACGATTTATCCTGGTTCACACCCCTTAGTGCATTAGCATGCTACGTCTAGACTAAAATAGCCGCAGATATTATATTGATCACTAAAGAAGCATTTTTCAAACATGCGTCACACACACAATCAATCAAAATATCTAAAAATCTTCCTGGTGCCTACACTGCTGCAAGCTTCAAGAATTCTCTCAAGCCGAATCTAGGAGTTCATCAACTTGTCTCACACAAGAACTCGACACACCCTAGTGGATTCTAGAGACTCCAGGCCTTGAAAAACATTCTCAAGTCAAGCAAAGGTCACCAACCTTTATGGTTGCACCCCACATACCTAGAACAAATTTTTTGCACACGCAAGCATTTCATTTTAACACACAATACACTGTTCTGATTTGTATAAAAAAATATTCAACAAATACATGTAATATATCACACTAGATATATCACAGTTAAGATCAAACCAAGGTCTAAGATTATTGATAAATGTAGAGAATCAAGATAACGAAATAAGTGTCAAAATCCCTAAGGTATATGTATTAAAGAACCTAGATTAGCGCCAATGCTATTCACTTTTCTTTCGAATTTTTTTAATTACTTTATTATTTGCAAAACAGTTACAAACACGTGACCATGAGGAAGCTTATCTTGATTGCTTTTCTTTTCAATTATTTGCAAGCCCTTTTTTTTGTTATATAATTCTCTTTCAATTTTATAAGATTACTTTTTTTAACAGTTTTTATTTAGTTTTTATATTTTATTAAAACCGATTTTTAAATTGATTTAGTTTTTACTTTTAAACTAAACCGTAATAAAAAGATTAATCATTGTTTTTAATATGAACTACGATGGAAATAAGTGCATGTAATGCAATAGAGCTTAGAGTGACACTTTGTGATATAATAAAGTGTGCAACAAAAATCTAAAAATCTAACCCAAAGGCTTTGCTTCCAATCTTCAATTTGAGATCTTCAATAAGTCTTGAGACCTTCAAAACCCTTTAGCATGCAGGAGGTTCTTCAATCTCACCCTTTTTTATTATGGCAATATACGCTCAAATTGAAACCAATAAACTATTAGTAGCAAAGGTTTGATAACATGTAATATCAAAACTCTTAAAATTCAAAAACCATCAAACCTAAAATTCAACTTAACTCAACTCCCCTAACAATATGCATTAGCTCAATTTGGTATCCATATTTCTCTTATTTTCTCCCCCTTTGACATTATCAAAAACATTAGTAGTATGAGATATCATAAAGCATATAGAATGTGACATAATGAATAAAAGACATTTTATAGAGTATTGATGTGCATGTATCATGATGAAGGATCATAAAGTCTTAATTCCATACATAATCTTTCATAGATATCTCTAGGCAAAGGCTTTGTAAAAATATTCGCTAGTTGTTTAGTTGTATCAATAAAATTTATTTCAACATCTTTCTTACCAACATAATCATGAATGAAATGATGACGAATATCAATGTGTTTAGTGCATGACTGTTGAATAGGATTCTTAGTTAGGTTAAGAGCACTTGTGTTATCACACAAGATGGGAACGATATCAAGTTTCAAACCATAGTCTAGAAGTTGTTCCTTCATCCAAAGGACTTGTGCAGCACAACTACTTGCAGCTATATATTCTATTTCCGTAGTGGATAGCCACACTAGCTTGCTTCTTATTACGCCAAGAAACTAAAGTGTTACCAAACAAGTGGCAGGTGCCACTCTTGCTTTCCTATCCAACTTGCATCCGGAAGTTGGCATCAGAATACCTAGCTAGGCTTGGTGGAAATCCCTTAGGATACCACAATCCCATTTGATTATAACCCACTAAATAACGAAAAATTCTTTTAACTACAGCTAAGTGGGATTCTTTAGGATTAGATTGATATCATACATACATGCATACACTAAACATTATGTCAGGACTAGAGGCAATCAAGTATAAAAGTGATCTGATAATACATCTGTACCTTGTAGAATCTACAGATTTTCCTTATTCATCTTTGTAAAATGTACATGAAGAGCTCATGGGTGTGTAGATATGTTTTGCAGTATCCATCCCAAATATCTTTAGGAGGTCCTTGCAATACTTTGTTTGATGATGAATATATGTGCCATCCCTTTCTTGCTTGATTTGGAGGCCAAGGAAGAATGTAAATCTCCTATCATACTCATCTCAAACTCACCCTTCTTAATCTTAGAAAACTCTTCACATAGAGACGCATTACTAGAACAAAAAATAATGTCATCCACATAAATCTGTACTAATAATGTGTGGTCATATTTTTGCTTAATAAAGAGTGTTGTGTAAGCTTTACCACAGATAAATGCATGCTCAAGTAAAAACTTACTTAGCCTATCATACTATGCCTTAGGTGCTTGTTTTAAAATCGTATAATGCTTTCTTTAACCTATAAACATGATCAGACTTTTCATAATTTTTAAAACCAAGAGTTTGCTTAACATACACTTCTTCATTAATATAGCCATTGAGAAATGCACTTTTAACATCCATTCGATGCAACACAAAGTCATACAGACATGCATATGCAAGCAATAGCCTAATAGCTTCTAGCCTAGCTACTGGTGCATATGTTTCATCATAATCTATTCCTTCTTCCTGACTATAACATCGAGCCGCTAATCTAGCTTTATTTCTCATAATAATTCCATTTTCATCCAACTTATTTCTAAACACCTATTTTGTTCCAATTACTTGTTGGTGCTTAGGTTTAGGAGCTAATTCTCACACATAATTTCTTTCAAGTTGATTCAATCATCATACATAGCATTAATCCAACATTCATCATTCAATGCATCATGAATGTTACTAGGTTCAACTTGAGACACATATGAACAATTATTACATAAATTTCTCAAAGAACATCTAGTAGTTATCATCACCTAATACGTGATCAAAAGGATGATTTGATGCTACTCTTATACTCGGTCGAAGGGTTTCTTCTTCAATTTGAGGAGCTACATATTTTTCATTTTTTATGTGCTTGTAACTCCTCTTTCTTATTCATTGTAATTTTTTCAAATTCACGAACAATATCATCTTCAACACTTGCTGTTGTCGGCATGTTAACGAGATCATAATATTCATCGAATATAACATGTCTTGATTCTTCCACAATCATAAAGGACTAGCAAAATCGAAATAGCGAAATTCTTGGGTCATCTCAATGGGTTCAGAAACCACACGTTTCTCTGGATCATCATAGCGTACTTCTACATATCCACTCAGAGGAAGGTCTTTTCGTAATGGATGACCCTCGAAACCATAATCTGTTGATATACGGCGTAGATCCGGATGATTGATGGAAGAAACACCAAACATATCCCAAACTTCAACCAAGGGAAAAATTGTAACAGCCCGTTACGTACCGGTATTGTTAACATTGATTATGATATTAAGCGCAGTTACAATCACAACAGTTCATTTATAAAAATGCGAGTAAACTTTTTCTTTTTCATTACGCGAGCATTTAAAACAATAATAAAGCGTAATGAATAAAAGCTGTGACCATAACTGTAAACTAAATGCGGAATAATAATATTAATTTCCTAATTATCATATAATACTTGTAACACCCTCCCTTGTATGCATCCAAGAGAGTTGTTTGCTAAGCGGATTAGAGTTCTTTAATCATATTTTAGAGACTGAAAATCACTTTTACAATGCCAATTAAAAACTTATAATTGAAATCGGATTCGTCACAAAAATCAGAGTATACTTTCAAAATTTCTCAACTACTGAAAATATAACTTTCCTGGCAGACCTTTCTGTCTTTAAAAATTCGTATAAAATTCACTTCAACGATTAAAAAAAATATTCTTTGTAATCTAGAAACTAGACATTCGGGGCTTCACGTTCATATAAAATAATAGTAATTTGAAGGTCGTTTGCCTCTCGAAACATAACTCGTAAGGCGAGAGTTAAAATCAGTGAATTTATATCAAACGACCTGACTTGCAAAAATCATAATAAATCGATCTTTCAGAATTTCGTTGAAAGGTTTATATATAATGAAACTAGACACCTGGGGCTACGCGTGCATATAAATTATAAGAAAATCAGAGGTCCGTAGCCCCGGGACGCCAACCTACAAAATGCTCGCACAAACAGTTTTAACTTAGCTCTCAAAACGTCATGAATCAGTTTTCGTAAAAACTGTTCTGAAATTCGTTTCAAAACACTTGTTGTTCTTAAAAGTCTTAAAAAAGAATGCAAACATAGTTCACTAATAATTTAAACATCCACAATTAGTACAGTCATCCATGAAAATAATACAATCACAGCAGCATGCCCAATAGTAGAAACCAACAGCAAATATCCAAGTCCTCAAAAGCTTTTACGTTCTCCTGCCATTTTATAAAAATAGCAGCCCCAAAGGGGTGAGAAAAATCCTAGTGGTGTGACAACAAAACCAATAATGCAACAGTATCAAACTAGGCACAAAATTATAAACAGTCGCTTCAAACATGAAATCTTTTTCATCATATATCATATTGCGTATATAACGCCTTCATCACGCTCTTAGCACCGTCGTGCGCGTGCCATCACAGTGGAAATTCCATGCACGGCACCATCATTTGGGGAATTCCACTGTGGCCTATGCAAACTGACGCCAACTGTCCCAGTACCCTGATATCAAGGGATGCCTATATGATGCGTGCTCAATCACATGGTCCTATATATATAACTATTCTAAGACTGAAGACTAACATGAATTTGGTACATGCATGCCATGCTACGCTGTCACACACAAACAAAAAGGCAAGTGCGGTATGATGTACGGTGCATGCATATATCATCATTTCATAACATATACTTTATGTACATTGGATGCCATACTGCCAAGCCATTCTTTCTTTTCATAACATAATTTCCATAATCATAACATTTCCATAGGCAGAAAAATTTCATCATTTATGGCAGAATAATCATAAGGCACATGTGAGCAACAATTCACAATTCATACACTAGTCAATAGTCACATCAGGTAATATCGCTTAACACATACCTCGAGTCTTTAACATTTTTAATCAAAACAGCCCCCAAGTCCATCCGGCATCCTTAAGGTTTATAAACCTAATCTAAATACCAAACAGATTTTCTTTACTTCCATTCATTTACAAAACACAAGGTTCCATTCAGAATTTATACTTCCCGTACCAAGTTCATTTTCTGATTTTAAGCTACATTTTCCATGCTTCCAAGTACCGATTTACTTTCTAACTTCATTGTTCAAATCTTTTTCTGATTTCACTTTAATTTCTTATAGGTTTAGTCATGGACAAACCAAAGGTTTCTATACATAACATGCACGGTTTTTAGGCCTTTCTTTAGTACATTTATTCGCGGTCAACAAAATACTACTAGCTTGACCTAGGCATAAGCTAATAGACCATTTACATATGATCCATATGATTTTCAGCATTCTGTTTACATACAATAAAACATGCTAGGCTGTTCATTTATTTTTCTAGTTACAAGGGCAGTCCAATAATCTAGATATTTATGTCCATGTTCACAAAATTCAGCTTTGAATTAATATGCTTCAAGTCCTATGGCTGTACCAAAATGACAGAATTAAAAGGGGGAAAAGGCCAACATAAATTATCCTACTAATTGCTATCAAGTAATAAAAGGGTTCCAAAGGCCTACACATGAAATTTCGGTTTGGCCAACAACAAGGTGCTTCACTGCCTACATAAATTTTTTTTCTGATTTGTTATTAGTTTACCACACATTGACAATGATAAAAATCAAGTTTTCTAAGACCTGCAAATACGGTTTTGTGCTCTCAACCAGGCGCTACTAGCTTATCCTTTACTAAGTATTATCTACAAGGCTTAGTGTATTATAGTGACACTTAAAACATGCAGCCTCTGCCAGTTATAATTACGTACAAGGCTCCTCAATTTTCTTAATCCAAGAAGTAGTTCCTAATTAAATTGGTGTGGGGCCATCTACGAAACTCCAATTTCATTTTCTTGCTTACACACAAAAGAAGATCACGTTGATACTAAACAAGGCAGAATGACAGAGATGAACTGTGACAGAATATTTCCTCCTAAGCTTACCTTCACAGTCGCACATTGAATGGGGGTTGGAGGAGCAATTCACGATTTGTGCCCACTTCAAGTGCCCAATTGTTTCACCAACGTTGAATGGGACAGCCACCAAAGGTTCTGCTCTCACTCTCACACTCCTACCACTCAGAAATCGTAACAGAGAACAAAAATAAGAAGACAGACCACACATAACTCATGCGCGGAAGTCAAGGGTGAACAGGATGGATGATACTCACTTGTCTTTGCATGCAAGGAGAAAGAATGGCTCAATCATGGCTGAGTCTTGAGCATGCAGTGGAAAAAACAACAAAACTGGATTAGGACCGATCTAGTAGGAAACAGCCACAAAGAGACAAACGCCTACCTCCTTGCTTGGGAGTTTTCAGCCGAAAGGAGAGGGAGAGAAGTGTGTGAGATTATGTTCCAAATCTCCTTGTTGATTGCTCCACTCAGCCGAAACATGCAGTGGAAAAAGAATAGAAATTTGCATGATCATTTGCCTTCAAGGTAGTTCACGGTTTGTGTACGTGAGAAAAGGGAATGCAATGAAATTCTTTCTTTGAGCTATATTTCTTGTGGCTTGCGGCAGTGAGGAAAAACATGAGAGGCTAATCTGATTCTAAACTAAAGTGGGCAATCTTTTTGCTTGGGAGATCTTCAGCCGTGCATAGAGGAACAAGAGGACAATGTGTGGCTTAATTGAATTCAGGAAAAATTAGATAGAGGCTAACTTGTTGCCTTCAAATTAACGCATAGAGAAGGAAAAGGGGTTGGTCTTAATTCTGATCCAAACAACACAAATAAAACAAATAATAGAATTTCCTTTACCCTCATTGGACGCTAGGTGATGAGGTTGTCATCAACCAATCGGATTGCATGCAAAACAACTTTCTCTCTTCTCATTGGGTGAAATGGACGGCAGGGCAGATTTCCTAGGGTACTTACACCAGTAATTAGAATTTTCTTTAAGATAGTTTAAAGGTTAACAAAGGGTCCAACTAACGTGTCTTAAAGAAAATTGCTTACTATAATTTAGAAATTATCATTTTATATGTCTTCTAGGTATTTTATAAAATTTCGTAGGTTATATTAGTTTAATCCTATTTTTTTAACTAGAGTTTTGAATCCTCCAAATATCTGTATATATATATAACCACTTATTTACAATTACAATTCGAATAATTTTCCTAACTTACATAAATCCCACTCTAACATAAGTTTAATTCGACTTTCAAGTATGATACCCACTCTTAATTATAATTTATAGAAGTTCCTAATTATGCGGGATGTCACAATACTTCTCTCAAGTCACTAAGGGGTTCCCATAAACCCATTTAGCATAAATCTCACTTTTACGGTTTTTACCTATCCAAATATGGTTCAGTCTTTTAGATACTGCAGAAAATTCACGTGTCTCGAACCTCTCATCATTTAGTATGTTATTCTAGACTTAATTATCTTTCCAACAAGGTATCACACGCTCCATAAAGTTCTCGTTTTCTCCGGTTATCACCGTTTGAAATTGGGCAAGCAAAGCTGGCAGCCAACCTCAAACAGGACACCAAATAGCCCTCACTCTTTCAATGATTTCGGACAAACCACTCCACCAATTGCTCCCAAATTTTTATATAGTAAACTATACACCTCGAGCTTCAATATGATATATCATGTACGTAATTTGACAAAAATTTACGACAGGAATAAATTTCCCAAAATCAGGTCGCGACAGCCCCTAGTGCAGGGGATTTCTGGATAGTCCGGGTTCAATGGCCTCTACAGGTCAGCGTACTACTCCTATGGTTCCCAAATTTTGACACAATGTATTTGACATCTCAATATTTAAAATGGTGTATGGTAAGTCCCTATTGGACTTCTATGGAGGGAGATATGCTCCCGTAAAATTCATCCAAAATCTGCCATTTTATAGAAATTTCGACAGCATCTCCTTTGTTTTTCCAACATATCCCACTTTTGTAAAAGTGTGTTATCTATCATCAAGGGTACCTAATAGACACAGGTGGCACTCAAGGACCAGCAATGCCTTGGTGCTCTTACAACCCATCACAATTTATATCCGTTTACTTAATTTACAACTCATTAATTGCATTATCAAAACTTAAACCATTTCAATCACTTTGATCCATTTACATGCATTCTTTAGACATAAAAACATAAATCATATCCTAGAATAGGCCTATTTTCTTTTCATCATATAACATGCTTCAATATTACACAAAATCCAAATATTACAATTTACAATTCTCCACTTGAAGCATAATACAACACTTTCTCCAAATACAAAATGAATCTCAAATTACATCATTATGCATATATTACTAGACTTAGGCAAAAAGATGGCGTGAAAAAATATGACGACCTTAATAAATCTAAATCCATATGCAATGTTCATGCCCTAAGTCTAGTCTATGTCAAAATGCTCTCAAAATGCACAAGATACATAAATCTCCAATGCTCATCCTATGGGCCTCTTGCACACTGCTCCTGTGCCATTGCCACTACCTGAAATAAAGTCCCCAAAACGGAGTAAGATATACGAATATATCTCAGTAACCCAGATGTTCTAGAGATTACTCCGTCCAATGGCTCACTCAGATGTACATCAACAATATATCACAACAACCAAAAATGGATAAAGTAAGGGATTTTGTGAAGTAGGGATGTGTACGGAGTAAAAGTACGATGAAGCTGGATTGGTCAACGCCAAAATCACGCAACATCCGGCCTATTGGCCTCGGCATATAGCCTACAGGTTCTCATCCAAGGAAGTGTCCCAGAACATCAATCAAGGCACCCTCCATCTATATACAACTGAGACATTCCTAGAGTGTTCTTCAACGGATGACACCCTATAACCCCAGGTTAACTAGAACTCCCTCATAGAGACCTATCCAGTGGAAGTCCGTAACGCCCGAAGGCCACAGTCTACTGGCCAGAGACATGTACATCCTATGTACCACTATACATACATAATGCATGAGCATGTTATAATATACTACCAACATACACCTCCAACCACTACCCTCAAGGGGCATGGTGGAGCACACACGGGGACTAAACCCCAGTACCAAGGGATTACCTTATGAAAGCTCCCTCTCTAGGTAGCTCCAATGTAATATGCCACCAAGCTTGGTTCCACAAGAAATGCCTACACATAGGTCATTTCCATTCCAATTACAATCAATCAAGACATATACATGCTTATTAAAGTATTCATGCATATATTCATAACAACTTACCATAATCCTTTTGGTCAAGGACCAAAGGCAACCCACCAAGCTCAATACTCCAAATTCAAGTCCGTGGAAGGCAACCTACAACGATCACACACGGATCATCAATACAAGGTGCAACCAACGAGATCTACAAAGCACCAAAGTCCACCCCCCCACATGTATGTATTCGGCCATATGGCCTAAAATTACCAAACCATTTTTTTTAATTTCATTTCAAGGTTCTACTAGTTTCCTAAGCTTCTCACAACACCGTTTCAAGTCCTTAATTCCATGCCATACCATCATAGCACCATTTTCCTCTAATTTTGCCCTTCTTGGCCAAATTGCCCACACACACACATACCTCATACTTTTCCTTCCAATTCAATGCATCAACTCAACACACAACCTATTTAAATACCATTCATATTCACACAACATCAATTACACAATTTTTACATCATCCATCTGTATTTCCTCTCATTGGCTGAAATCCACATGCATATGAACCCAATGATTTTTATTCATTTCAACACTTCCACACACCATACAATCCTATAATCAACTCATACAAACACTCCACAACACAATTACACAATCATACAACATATCAATTTCACAAAGCCTTGGATTTTCCACTTCAAAATTTGCCTAAGTTAACAATCAAATCCTCAATAATTTTTATGAGTTCAATCACTATAAAACATCATTCTAAGCCAATTTTATCCAATACACATTTTCAATTTGAGCTCTCTAACTATTTCAATCCATACACACTAGCTTTAGGTTTTCAAAATCCAATCTACCAAATCAACCAATTAAAAATGTAAAAACTTACTCACAAGCAAGGCGTAGGACTCCTCCACACCATACCGAAGCATTGGAGGATCAATCAACTCCAAGAACCTCAAAATTCCTTACATGGCCGAATTCTTAGATGGGATTTTTCTCTCAAATGAGTGAGTCTAAAGAGAAACCAATGGGTGAGTTGTGTTTGGATAGTGATTTACTTAAACTTTGATGACAAACTTTGTTGGATTTGAGTGAGATTTAAGTGTGTTTTGGTTGAATGAAATTTCAACCAAAACTTTGCTCAACAATGGTGGAGGCCGCGGGTGGAGAAGGAAGAAGGAGAGAGAAGGTGCTGAATTTTGTGTTTTCCCATGTGGCTTAAGTCCACTTAAGTGGGATGGATCCCACTGCCACCTCACACGTTTCAAACTAATTCAATTCTCCCTTTTATTTCTCTAAACGTCCATAAATTCTTAAACTATTTAGAAACTTCAATTTTTAACATTAAACATTATCCTTTACTTTTCCTTGATCAGATGAATCCGGAGTTTTTCGGTTGTTCAGAGAAATAACAATTTTAAGCTGTTATACGCATTGTGGGCACGCTTCCCTGAAAACCCTAATTTCCATCAATTTTCACCAAAAATCATATTTCCTAGTCCTATCTACCATTTATAATTTATTTTCAAACCTAGAGCTCAAAATTCATTCGGCACGCTTTACGGTGCAACTGTACCATGGTATTTTTACCCGGTGAAAACACTATTCACCAAATTTCTAGAAACTTGCCTAACCACTCAATTTTTTATTCTGAATCCATTTCCAAGGCTATTTTTTCCATTTGACACCTCCTACTCAATTTTCCTTTCCTAGGGTTACGTGTTTGGCAATTTACCATTTTACCCTTTTTATGTTTTTTGACCTTAATTTCAGGATTTTCACTAATCCTACCCCTTAATCCATATTTTCATATGTAATTATACGTTTAAGAAATACAAGGTGTTATAAAAACCCTCATCAGATTTGAAATTAAACTTACCTAAGTTGTGTTTTCCATTATTCAATACAAAACACTTACAACTAAAGACACGAAAGTATGAGACATTGGGTTTCCTATCTTTGAAGAGTTCATTAGGCGTTTTATTTAAAAAAAAATTAAGACACAAGGGTTTGAAACATAGCAAGTAGTGCTAACTGTATATGCCCAAAAGTGTTTGGGAATGTTGCTATCATGGGGCAATGTCCTTGCTAGTTCCTCCAATGTCCTTTTTTTCCTTTCCACAAACCCTTTTTGTTGAGGGGTCCTTGGAGGAGAAAAATTATGACCGATACTGTTATTTTCATAATTTTTCAAAATCGTGATTTTCGAATTCTCCACTATAATCACTCCTAATGAAAACAATATTTACGTTTTTCTCATTCACAAGAACTTTTGTCAATTTTTCAAAAGATTTGAAAGCTTCACTTTTATGTTTCAAAAACTAAGTCTATGCGAATCGAGAGTAATCATCTACAATCACAAATGCATAGTAGTTTCCACAATAGCTCTTAGTTCTAGTAGAACCAAAGAGAACCATGTAAAAAAATAGCAAGGGACGTGTGGTAGTAACCACATTTTTACTTTTGAAAGAGATTTTCACTTGCTTTCCTTTTGTACATGCATCACACAATCTATCCTTCTTGAACTTAAGCTTAGTTAGACCTATTATTAGGTCTTTGGCTATCACCATATTTAG